TGTATGTATGTATGTATGTATGTATGTATGTATGTATGTATGTATGTATGTTTGTATGTTCTCCACAAAAGGCACAGAAATGATACATTCATATGTGTGCAAATGTCTCCTGCAAGGGTCCCCACTGCCCAGTGGTTGTGAGCATGGGGCTCACATATCTGGGAGCATTACTTACTTCATTAGAGTTTAAAAGCAACAGATGCCAGTGGGAAATTCAGGTTGCATCAAAAGCATTTTGTAGTCAGTGCTAACTTGATTTTCTATGGCCAACCTCACCTTCTAATTAGAGCAAGGCATCCGGAAGGAGGTCTGTGGTTGAGATGCTGTGGCAAAGGTTCAAGGCTGGCGCGTGCTGGAGGTTGCTATGTGCCGTGGCCCTGGAGGAGGTTGGATTGCACTGTCTAGGTGACCTGTGAAGGGTGCCCACACCCTGTAGCGGCTACCACTTTGGCTTGAACTAGTGCTACAGGTGGAGACCTGACCCCCTCGGATAAGAGAGGTTTTGGCATGGGCTCTGGCCAGAGTAAGGCACTTAGGATTGGCAGGAGAGAAAGGCAAGCACGTGCCTGTGTTTTCCTGTGTACATGGCATGATGGAGGTGCTGCCAAGTCATGTGAAGGAAGTAGGAGAGGAGGGATAGCTCCTGGTCTGAGTAAGAAAGAGAAAAAAATTGCCTTGGTAGTATCCTTTCCCATTCGCCATGTGCTCAAAAAACCTAGCTCTTGGTTCCGGGGGTTTCTGGGACTTTTGATGTCTCTTTAGTCTAGATCATTTGCGTATGGCTGAGGCCATCTGAGAACTGTGGGGGAGGATCTGTAGACAAAGTGTGCCCTGGCTGGGGTCTGATGTAAGAGAATTAAAACATGAAGGGAAAAAAGCTGCAAGTGGCCAGGCGCCCTGCTGCCCAGCCGCTGCCCTCCCAGTTGTCAGGGTGTCGCTGGCTCAGAGTGCTCAGTAAACATCTGCTGAGAGGTAGGAGAATGCTGAGGCCTCACTGGCCCAGCTCCAGCCTCTCTGTAGCACCATGGGGATCACAGGCTCCTAAGAACATTGAAACACGGATCAGGGTTTGGCAGTTGTTAGAGAATGCATTGATGGGTTGTACTGATTTGTTGGAGAACAATGACCCATAGCTTCAGCCTGAGAATGCTTAATAAAGTTAAGAAGGCACAAAAATGTCTCCTTGGAGACCAGTCAGGAGTATTTCTTCCCGTAGAATTTAATTTGTTGCTTGTGTGGTTTCTGTGATGTCATCCCACATGTGTAAGCTGGAAACACACAGAGCGCAAACTCGGCATGCATGTTTTGAAGTAGAAAACTGCATTGTTGCTCTCTGATTCCATGTGCTGGGAAGACAGACTCAGGAATATTGTAGGAGACCAGCTTTTAAGTGGAATGCCTGCAAGGTTTGCCTTCCGCTTCCTGTGAAGCGTGGTCACATAACCTGTAGCTACTCCTTGATGCAGGAAGGAATGAGAACATCCAGCCATGCCTCGTGTCTAGGCACTTGACCACCCTACTAGACTTTCTCAGACAAGTCTGACAAGACTCAACCAACTCTGTTCGTGCCTATAGTGCATTTAAACATAAGACTGACAGAAATTGAACTGTATTAATTTTTGGTTTCTGTACTTTGAAGGATATAGAAAGAGAGAGAAAAACTACCCACTATCAAAAAACCTCAATGCTGGTTACTGGTTCTTAGTTTTGTTAAAATTGAAGTTATTGTTAAATATGCTTTCTTTGATGACTACTGTGTCTTAGATGTGGTCCTTTAAAAACACTACCTGTCCTGTAAGGGAATATCAGGATTAAACATGTTCTTATTTGGAAATGGGTGCATGGCTCTGTAAAAACAGTCAGCACTGCCCAGCTGGCACTGATACCCACGTGGTCACTGCAGTGATGGCAGAAGATGATGGCTTCAACTTCCTTTAGACCAAACTGTCCCTGGTCCTCTAAAACCAAAGTACAGAAATAATAGGAGAAATATGGGTTCATAGCTTCCTTCTCACTCCCGCCACCCAGGGGTTCATGTACTCCAGGCCAGGCTTTGAGTGTCTTGCAAGACCACACTCACACAGTTCTGTAAGTCTTTCCAGTTATGTGTGTTTAATACAGCTACCCAATGGACATCAGTTACAAAAATTCTGTGTGAGTCTCAGCAGCAGCCATATTGTCACTGTGCCATGAAAAGAGGCATGCTATGAGTTCTTTTATGCGTCTGTGATATAGATTTATTTATCCACAGTCATGAAGACCATGCTCCCCAACACTGAATCCAGTTTTGAATTCTAGAAAGCAAGCCAAATTCCAAGGCTGTGTTTTCCCTTCTGCTTCAAGATACAGGTCAGCCCTTGATGTGACCCTTCCAATGAAGCCTTGAGCCTAAAACACTCAGACAAGTTTCAGAACCGCTCTCAGTTACCTTCTGATGTGAAAGCTTGCCATCCCCCTTGCCAGGAGGCAGTGAAGGCCTCTGGCATTTTGCCTTACATGATTTTTTTTTCCATGCCAGTGGGTTGAGGCATCTTAAAGATCTGCTTCTAAAGGTGGCTTCCCAGTCAGACATTGAAAGAGTACAAGGTGGAAGGGCTGCCTGGCTGAGTCTGCCTTTTGTAAGCTTCAGCATTAGGGAACTGATCTTGTCATCAGAGGTGGCATTAACAGGTATGTTTCAAGTGTGGGAAAGACTGAGTCTCTACATTGAAGAAAACAGGAGGCCCTGAAGAGGACAGATGGGTAACTTTGGGTTCTTTGTCCAATGGCTACTAATAAGGATAGCAGACATAGGCTGTACAATGAGAATCGCATTCCATGTGGTTATAGCTTTTGCAAACATATGGATTCTGCCTAATTTTTAATAAGTTGAGCCTTGCAGGGAGATTTTTATCTCCAGAGTTGATCGACTAGATCTGGTTACCAGTTCACATCTGAAAATGGTTATGGTCCCCTAGAAAGCCTCCTCTATCTGTCAGCACACAGGGTCATTGTATTACAGTCAAGAAGACAATGTGGTAATTTGCTTAGCTCTAAACGGGGAAGGAGACAGAGGGCTGCAGTGCCCGGGCAGTGGCTCTCTTGTAGAAACACCACTGTTCCCAATGTAAACAATGTGCCCATGCCAGCACTCTGTGAACGGCAGCCAGGGAGATGCTCCTCCCACCTCTGGAAGCAGCACCACAGACTTCTTTGCTCTCCAAAGGTGCTCATGGCTGCCCAGCTCAAGGTCAGATGTCTGTTTGGACTAGGGTTCCAATCTCTGTCCTGGTGTGGCCACACCCCAACCTTCTGGTCTGTACTCCAGGTTCTCTCCAAAGCTGCTGGCCAGCAACCAGATCCTACCTTTGTCTGAGAGCTTCAGGGTGCAGGGCCTGAAGGCCTGTCAGCATGCAGGGGCCCAAGACCTTCCCGAAGGCCCTGGTTACAACCCAAGATAGGGATTCCAAAAATAAAAATAAAAACAGAACAACCCATTCCAGGTTCCACCTGGGGTCTCCTGAGCTGTGTGTCTGGTACCATAACACAGCCTTGGGGAGTTGGGGAGCTATTTTCCAATAAGGCCTCAAACAGAAAGTAAACATCTCATCTTGGATCCCATCAAGCAGGATATTTCAAGTCCACCGAAAACCAAAAGCACAAGGAGCCTTTCTTCCGTAGAAAAGCCCGGGATGGTACACATGCCTGCTACGGCGCCCTGCGCAGTAATAGACACTGCATAATTTAATAACTTACAAGTACCTGAGCAAGTGCGCAAAGCACCACAGCACAGCACCGAGGGCAGTAGCTCACAGGTCTGGGAGAAATGGTGTCTTAAACACTGTAAAGACTCTAAAAGTCGGTACAAGAAAAGAAAATCACTCCGGTGGAGCCGAAGATAGTGCAAACTTGTGTCTTCACTGCTGAGGACCGGTCCGGACTGGCTTCTCACTTGACGTAGGCATTGTGGGAGGGTCTGGGTACTTGATGCTTAGAGGCAGGTCTGAACCAAGAGCAAGCCAGGGAGGGGAAAACAAAACTGCAGTTAGATTCACAGAAGACATGGACAGAAGAGCTTGGAAGAAGCATGCGCCCGCATACTGGTGAATGTCCCAGGTTAGAGCCCACTGACCCTGACCTGAGGTTGAAGGCCAGGATAGCTTTTTGGGGGGGCAAGGGAGGGGGTTGCTGATCATATCAAGGACTCACTGAAGAACTCCCACCCCTCTCTGCAGCTGTGCCTCCTATCCATGAGTTGAATCTAGAAGAGCCTTTTAACCTTTCAACAGAAAAAATGGGTATGAATCGCTCTGGTAATTCTCAGGCTTTCTTTTTAGATTTATTTATCTGAATGTCTGTGCATGTGAGGGCAGGTGGAGTGGAGGCCAGAAGTAGGCACCTCTGGCACCCCCCCCCCCCCCCGAGCTAGTTACAAGTAGCTTTTGAGTCACCCAGTGTGAGGGCTGGAAACTGAACTCTGGTCCTCTGGAGAACAGTGCTCTTAACTATTGAGCCATGTCTCCAGTCTGACATTCTATGTTTCTAGCAGCCACATGATGTGGTAAACTCAGCTTTATTGCTAAATTTCATTTTACTGTTATCAACATCTCAATGTGCAATCGGCATAAAGTGCTGAATTGACAGGGGCAGGATTAAGTGTTAAATCTGGCACATGTTTACACTTTTGTATGTTTCAATCTTATTTTTAACCAGCTTCAACATGCCTAGTGGCCACTGGATCACAGTTCACAGCTCCAGAGATGGGGAGCCAGGCTGCCTTCAGCAGAGGTTAGACAGGGTGCCAACTGGGGCATTATGGAAAGGAGTGTTCCCTAACCCACTCCATCATGTCCATGTAGGGCTTTTATCTAGGAGACTATCAAAAGTAACTCAAATGCTATGCAAATGTTTTCTGCATTTCCACAGTGGTGAACTAGACTGTTCTCTTAGCCCTTTGACCAGTATTATCTCTGAGATTTATGAGGCAGTCATTTCTTTCCTAGGCCAACATTCTTCCCAAGAGCCATAATGAATCACTGACGTGTGTCTTCCCCTGCAGAGATAGGAGTTACTGAACATGCTGTCTGGCCAACAGTCAGAACCCTTGGTTTTCTGGTGCTCAAGAGAGCTCACGTCCTGCTAAAGGGCATGCGAGTCAGAAGAGCGGGCTGCGGGTTTAAAAGTCTGCTAGCCAGGCATGGTAGCTCACGCCTATAATCCCAATGCAAAAGAGGGTGAAGGACCAGGGGGGGTCAGGTCAGCCCAGGCTACTGGGGAGACCAAGGCTGGGGGTATGTGTCACTTGCCTAGCATGTTCTTGCTAGAACTGAGAAAAACAAAGGGAATGAATTCCCTGCAAAAGAGGTGGAGCTGCAGCACTGACTGAAGTTCTCGTTGTCGGTGCTCCCAGCAGCACCAGCAGGTGTGGAAGGTGGGAGAGTGCCCGACATGCCACGGATTTCACCACGGACATGCATGTGAGCAACCTCAGCAGCAGTCTTGGAGCAATTTTTTTTGAGTATTTATTATCCTTGTTTTAAGTGCAACTTGGTATACACCTTAATATCTAATGTTGGCTAGGTTGCAAAGGCACGAGCTAGCTTCAGTACAGCTGTGGGTAACCTCTCCCCATGTAAGTGGATTTGGGGCTACATCAGCCTCATTCCCTGTGGGAGAGGGTGGAGATGACCATAGCCAGAGACAACTCAGCTGTGGGGAAGGCCCTAGGGCTGCATCTATGGAGCAGCTGCTGAGCTCTCATCTCTCCATAATCTCCCAACCCGAGCCGGAGTCTCAGCTGCTGGACTAGGCAAAGCAGGTCTTAGAGGATGGTGGCGGTCCAACCTTCATACAGACAATATCTGCTTTCGTGCTGTAGGAGACCAGGCTGTGCCCTTGTCAGCAGCTCAGCTGTCCTGCGTCATCTTGCCATGATCTCTCAGGTGAGTGAGCCATTGCTGAAAGCCCTGGAGTGATGTGCACAGCTGTAGTTTGCAGCTACTGCTTCCTGGTTATTTTCACACTTATCTAAATTCTTTTTTTTTTTAAGATTTATTTATTATTTATACAGCATTCTGCCTGCATACCAGAAAAGGGCACCAGATCTTACTCTAGATGGTTATAAGCCACTATGTGGTTGCTGGGAATTGAACTCAGGACCTTTGGAAGAACAACTAGTGTTGTAAACCTCTGAGCCATCTCTCCAGCCCCTATTTTCACACTTATCTCCTATCATTCTCATGTTGGGGTCAGGTAGGAAGCATGGCTTTACATCTGATAACCTGCATACCAGTGTGGTTAGTTCCGTTACCCTATACCATTAGAGGACACCTACCTGATGGGGGCTGGGCGGTGCCCAGGCTCCTGTTGCCCTGGGGTCCTCACCAAGGCACCAGTGAGGCGAGAAGTCCTGCTCAATGGATCAGCAGGCAGAGGCTTCTGAGGAGGGCTGGGCTTGCGGGTGCCCTGCAACAGACAACAGAGCACGTGTGACTCTTCAGCTCTGTGGCGGGAACTGGATCCCGGGACCCAGCAAACTTCTGGAAGGCGGTGCACATTACTCTATAGCCCTGGCTTCAACTTGGATGTACAGCTCTCCTACAATACAAGGTAGGGACTGTCTTTAGCCTCCTTGTGGAATTTTATGTAACACTTAAAGAATCGCACAGGTACACTCAAATGTGGTCACCTGACCCCACAGGTCTTAGGAGTCCAGTGGATAGTAGGGTTCTCTCCCAGTGTCCCATGAACCTACATGGCTTCAGACCCTCTCCAGTTTATAAATGACTGGCACAACTGTGGATGCACAGGATCCACAAGACAGCCGTCCTCCTTCCGGTGTAAAGATCCCAAAAGATAGTTGGGTCTCTTTGTAGAACGTGCTGTAGATCTTCCACCTGAACGCTTGTTAGCGCTTGTGAGAAGGGGTCAGGCAGTGGCTTGCAGGACAGGTAAGGATCTCTAAGGACGCTAAGGTGTGATGTGCCACTGGCCATGGAGTGAAAGTGAGAATTCAGGGGTATTCTATATTGACTTACACCCAAAGGCCACTGTGGAACGCACACAAGTCTACGTCCGTGGAAAAGGGAGGAGTCGATCTTAAATAAAAGAACATCTGAGATGTTCTCAGAACATAGATAATTATGCCAGCAGTTACTCATGTGCCATATTTAAATGCTTAGCTCCCCCACCCCCCAGGATGGGATGTCCTGTCATTAGATGAACTGATTCACTTTCATGACTAGGCATGGTCGGGCACCCCTGTAGTCCCAGCCATTGAGGTTACACAAGCAAAACACATCTGAAAAGTCACACAAGACCTACACTGTCTTAGGACTCGGCAGCCCCTATGTCCAGTAGCACCCAAACATTTCTTCAAGCACTTGTGATGTTTTCACAGCGCTTGTACTAAAACCACCTCAGAGGATGCAATACCAGAGTCACTGTCCAACAGCTTCCTGTGTAGCCAAGGGGCCACTTCCGTAAGTCGGTAAACCACAGCTGCGTGGGAGATGTGCCAAGAATGAACAGTAGACAGCCTGGGCTCAGAGCGAGCCCACTGAACAGGGGGCAGACCTACAGGTGACATGTCTGCATCAGATTTCATCAGAGGAAACACAAGGCTCTAGAATAGAGACCAACACCTTAGGTAGGAGTAAAGACCACGCTGGCTGTGCACACTCTGGTCCTGAGCTTTTGCGCTTGTGAGCATGTGCAGAGATGACAGTAGTGCACCCCTCCCCCCACCACCAGGGAGGTGGTGACACCTCCTGACACCGAAAAGGTCTTAGCCTAGGGGCTGGCATGCACTCACCTATGAACAAGAGCTGCTGCTGTTGGACAGTTGTGATTGACAGTGATTTCACCCTAGCAGCAAAGCCCTGGATAATGAAGGCCACACACAAATCAAGCTGTATTTCCCATCAGAGAACAGAAAACTCTGGGCACAATGTCTACGTGTAATGTAAAAATAAAGCACACACTCAACATGAGGAGACTCAGATTATGTGATCATTCCTTACAAAACAATACTAATTTTGCTGCTAAATAGGACTTAGCATCCAGTCCCTGCAGTAAAGATAACACCAGAGTTTTATTGCTGTGCGGAAGGAAAGGTGAAGTCTGTTACAGTCTGTCTTAATATGTTTGGATTTATCATGGCAACTCGGAAGATAATTACAGCTTGCCTGAGATATTTCCAATTTATGCCCATAGTCTTGTTATTCATCACATTCTCTCAGATGGCTCTCAGCTTTGAGGACAAATGTTATGTTCATTTCAGTGATAAAACTCCAAACATCCAAGATGCTTATGGAAAGCCCTCAACCCCAAGGACAGCAACGGTGCTCCTCTGTCCTCTGTTGCCATGGACAGGACATGGTATAGATAGTTGCATATGAGGTGTGGGCTTGGCAAAATGTATCTTCCTCTATAGGAGCTAACAAAGGACTCCAGGAGGCTCATGCCAGCACACTTTTCTGTAGTCTGTATTTTTAACAAATTCAGACATTGTTTCTTTTCCCTCAGGTCCTGGAGGAAAGTCCTACTCTATCATGTGGGGTCCCAGACTTTTGCTTTCCCTCTGTGTTCCAGCAACAGTAATACAGTCCAGAATTGCAGTGTTCTCTTCCTCCCTTCCTCTTTCCCTCCTTCCTCTCCTCTCTCTCAGGTTTTAAAACAAACATGCCAAAATAAAGAATGTAACCCTGTTGACCATCACCCTTTTATCAGCTTGCACATCATCTACAGCAGCAAACATGTCTGGCTATCCCAGGGTTCTGGGCAGGATGACTGGAGGCTGTCACAGGAAGCCAGAGCTGCCACTGAGGTCCTAGGCTGACATTATTAGGATGTTTCACTGTAATAAGTGAGTCAGTCTCTGGCTAAAAATTGCTGCTGTTATGACCAGACAAGAGTGTAACTGTTACCATCAGGGTGATGTAGGCAGCATGCTCAAAGCTGACACATTAGTGGGTCTTCTATAGCCAGAGACATGCCAGGGAGGGCCACTGTGGCCTTCCTTTCTCCAACAATTTTTTCTTCAACAAAAATACTTCCATTAAAAAAAAAATCGGATAGCTGTAAGGGAAGTAAAATGTTGAATCAAAACACAGCGCAAGGGGAAAAAAAGGGGAGACTGACGCTGGAGGTATCTGTCCACTTAAGAAAACTTGGATCTTGTTATGGAAACCTGAGTCCTGCTTTGATTCTTGTCTACAGTGAGTGACCCAGAAATCAAAAGTCAGGACCTTTGGGGGAAGCCATATACTCTGGCTTAATGGGATGACATTTTCTTTCCAACCTTTCTACAGCAAAACTCTGATGCTCTGCGAAAGGAGGCAACAGGTTAAGAATCATCTAGACAAAGATGCACACTGTTATCGACAGACAGTGGCTTGCAAGGAGTGTTCCCTTGGTGTTATGTAGACCATGCTAGGAAAGTGTTTACTTCAGTGTGTGTTCTGCAGCGAGAGGATGACTGGATACTCCTCCATGTGTTCTGGACTGCTTTATAGATGCATCATTCAAAGAAACTTGCTTCCAAGGAAGGAAGCCTAGTGACAGAGGTGGACCACAGTGCTGCATAACCCTTTATGCCTCTGAAAGTTTCATCACAGGAATACGCATGACCTATTACAGATGCAAAGGCTGAGATGCTGGGCACAGTTGTGCATGTGAAATATCCATTTCCACAGCAACAGAAATGAGTGGAAAACACTTCCCTGCATTCTGCAATCACTTGGACCATTCCCCTGGGAGTGGGTATTCCCTGAAGGGATTTCCCTCCAGAGTGAGCCATGGAGATATCTACCACAGTACCCACCTCTAAAGACAGTCATATGACCCATTAGTGTGTGACATGAAACCAAGGACAGTAGTCTGTCTCAAGTTTACTGGACAGCTGGCTAGGAGAGGTCAGCTTTAGTCTAAGACCTCTGTATACCCCATCTTAGATCTACAGAGGAAACACATTCAGGTTTTTGTTATTCTGTGATTCCTTGAGTGGGACAGCCAGCAGGGAACAATCAACTTATGATAAGACCAGTTGCCTAACATCCAGACTTAGATTAGCTTATTTGTTACACACCCACTGCATTCACTAGACTAGACTTTGGTGTGTCCAAGAGGAACAGCCCACAGGACCTTCTGAATGGAATAGCCCAAGTGTCGAGGAGCTGCAGTCAGTGACAAGGGAGATTCACAGAGGACCGTGGAAAAAGGAGGGAAGAGGCGTCACTGCAGTAGGATCTTGGGCATAAGGGAAAGACCTGGAAAATCAGGGGCAGGTCCACAAAGACACCAATTAGCTCTCTTCCCCACCATCAGCCTATGGTTTGCCCAGGGAATGAAGGCTGCTACAAAGATGCCTTCCTTTCTATCGCATCTTCCCTCCTGGGGCATATTGACAAATGGATTTCCCTTTCAAATACATACCAGCATTTCTGATGTGCAAGGACCTAAGTCATCAGATTGCTAGACTACAAATCTCAGCTGACCACACTATTCAGAAGGGATGTATCTATCAGGTCTAAGCTGAATTTACTGCTTGGTACAATTGGAGGGATGAGCTGAACATCTGGGTGAGTTGGCCATTACCTGCTTATCCTAAAACCAGGTTTTAAATTAATTGTCTAGGACATCATTTATATTATGCAAAAGTATTTATGACAATTGGCTGTTGCTTCCCCATAACAGCCCCAGAGAGTCACTCATCTCCCTGGTTGGAGTGGGTAGGTAATGTGGGTCTCTGAGCTGTTCTACTGCTCTCTCTACTGCTACTTAAGCAAAGCTCCATGCTTCTGCCTTTTCCTGGAAGAGCCTGTCCCAGACTGGCTGGTCTTGTTTTACAAATATTTTAGGCTATATCTGATATAGATTCAGGCTAGTGTTCAGAAGTGTGTGTTGGCCAAAACATGGCTGAAAATCTACCTTCCACAGAAGTGCCCTTCCTTAAAGGTGCTGTGGTACTTGCTGCTCTGCCTATGTTGCTAACAGTGGCTTGTCTTGTAAAGACAAGGATCGCCCGTGGCTCCATTGTGTTACAAAAGACTGATGCATGCCTTCTGGACCACATAGAGGCTGTACACAGTGCCAATGAACAGAAGAGCTGGAAAACACAGACATGGAAGATTACGGGGGCAGCTAACTGGCTGCTCTGACTATGGTAACTATGACAGTTTCCTCTGCAAGTTCTCTTATTTTCCTCTCCCCATTTTTCTTTTCTCCCCTTTCCTTCTCTTTCCTTCCTTTCCTCTCACGTGTGTGTGTGTGTGTGTGTGTGTGTGTGTGTGTGTGTGTGTAACTGATTCTATCACTATGTAGCTCTGACTATCCTAGAACTCAGTATGTAGACCAGGCTGGCCTCAAACTCACAGAGATCCACCCACCTCTGCCTCCTGAGTGCTGGGATTAAAGGTGAGAGTCACTGTATACAGCAGTCCTTGAACTTTTGATCTTCCTGCCTC